ACTGTCACTGTTACTGCCGTTGTTACTGTCACTGTTACTGCCGTTGTTACTGTCACTGCTAATGCCGTTGTTACTGTCACTGTCACTGCCGTTGTTACTGTCACTGCTGTTGTTACTGTTACTGCCGTTGTTACTGTCACTTTACTGCCGTTGTTACTGTCACTGTTACTGCCGTTACTGTCACTGTTACTGTCGTTGTTACTGTCACTGTTACTGCCGTTTACTGCTACTGCCGGTGTTACTGTCACTGTTACTGCCGTTGTTACTGTCACTGCCGTTGTTACTGTCACTGTTAATGCCGTTGTTACTGTCACTGTTACTGCCGTTGTTACTGTCACTGTTGCTGCCGTTGTTACTGTCACTGTTACTGCCGTTGTTACTGTCACTGTTACTGCCGTTGTTACTGTCACTGCTAATGCCGTTGCTACTGTTACTGCCGTTGTTACTGCTACTGCCGTTGTTACTGCTACTGCCGTTGTTGCTGTCACTGTTACTGCCGTTGTTACTGTCACTGCCGTTGTTACTGTCACTGTTAATGCCGTTGTTACTGTCACTGTTACTGCCGTTACTGTCACTGTTACTGCTACTGCCGTTGCTACTGTCACTGTTACTGCCGTTGTTACTGTCACTGCCGTTGTTACTGTCATTGCTAATGCCGTTGTTACTGTCACTGCCGTTGTTACTGTCACTGCTGTTGTTACTGTTACTGCCGTTGTTACTGTCACTGTTACTGCCGTTGTTACTGTTATGAAACTGAACAATACTTAATGTTTAACCATGTGTTATACTACACAGAAAGTCGTTAATAAGGCTTTGTTACTGTCACTGTTACTGCCGTTGTCTGTCACTGTAACTGCCGTTGTCACTGTCACTGTCGTTGTTAATGTCTTGTTACTAGCTTTGTTACTGTTACTGCCGTTGTCTCTGTCACTGTTACTGCCTTGTCGTTGTTAATGTCTTGTTACTAGCTTTGTTACTGTCACTGTTACTGCCGTTGTCACTGTCACTGTTACTGCCGTTGCTACTGTCACTGTTACTATTGTTGTTACTGTCACTGTTACTGCCGTTGTTACTGTCACTGTTACTGCCGTTGTTACTGTCACTTTACTGCCGTTGTTACTGTCACTGTTACTGCCGTTGTTACTGTCACTGCCGTTGTTACTGTCACTGCCGTTGTTACTGTCACTGCCGTTGTTACTGTCACTGTTAATGCTGTTGTTACTGTTACTGCCGTTGTTGCTGTCACTGTTACTGCCGTTGTTACTGCTACTACCGTTGTTACTGTCACTACCGTTGTTACTGTCACTGCCGTTGTTACTGTCACTGCTAATGCCGTTATTGTTACTGCCGTTGTTACTGTCACTGTTACTGCCGTTGTTACTGTCACTGCTGTTGTTACTGTTACTGCCGTTGTTACTGTCACTTTACTGCCGTTGTTACTGTCACTGTTACTGCCGTTACTGTCACTGTTACTGTCGTTGTTACTGTCACTGTTACTGTCACTGCCGTTGTTACTGTCACTGCCGTTGTTACTGTCACTGTTAATGCCGTTGTTACTGTTGCTGCCGTTGTTACTGTCACTGTTACTGCCGTTGTTACTGTCACTGCCGTTGTTACTGCAACTGCCGTTGTTACTATCACTGCCGTTGTTACTGTCACTGCTAATGCCGTTGTTACTGTTACTGCCGTTGTTACTGCTACTGCCGTTGTTACTGTCACTGTTACTGCCGTTGTTACTGTCACTGTTAATGCCGTTGTTACTGTTACTGCCGTTGTTACTGTCACTGTTACTGCCGTTGTTACTGTCACTGTTACTGCCGTTGTTACTGTTATGAAACTGAACAATACTTAATGTTTAACCATGTGTTATACTACACAGAAAGTCGTTACTAAGGCAACATTTCGCTCAGAGACTTATTTTAAATGAGTTCTTGCTAAATGACCAGTTTTACCTATTCGGCACTACACACAATATATATATATAAATATATATATTATATATATAATATATATATATATTATATATAATATATATATTACCATGATGGCTATCCTGAACGCTGATTAATAAAGATTACGTTAACTGAGTAATCCTGCTAGGCAACACAGCAGGTGTAACATATGGGAATCTTTATTGAAGAAACGTTTCGCCACACAGTGGCTTCATCAGTCCAATACAAAGTTGTCGGTTTTCAAAACCTTTCATCACAACATAGCAGGTGTGCCTGGCAGGTGTGAACTGATGCTGGATGATCAGAGATTTGCAGTCATGCGGGGAAATAGTCAACATGTGCAGGGCAAGGCTTTATCTGGTCAAGGCAAATGACTTGATCAGCGAGCCTAGCATGCTTGACCTGCTAGCCTAGCATGCTTGACCTGCTAGCCTAGCATGCTTGACCTGCTAGCCTAGCATGCTTGACCTGCTAGCCTAGCATGCTTGACCTGCTAGCCTAGCATGCTTGACCTGCTAGCCTAGCATGCTTGACCTGCTAGCCTAGCATGCTTGACCTGCTAGCCTAGCATGCTTGACCTGCTAGCCTAGCATGCTTGACCTGCTAGCCTAGCATGCTGACCTGCTAGCCTAGCATGCTTGACCTGCTAGCCTAGCATGCTTGATCAGCGAGCCTAGCATGCTTGACCTGCTAGCCTAGCATGCTTGACCTGCTAGCCTAGCATGCTTGACCTGCTAGCCTAGCATGCTTGACCTGCTAGCCTAGCATGCTTGACCTGCTAGCCTAGCATGCTTGACCTGCTAGCCCTAGCATGCTTGACCTGCTAGCCTAGCATGCTTGACCTGCTAGCCTAGCATGCTTGACCTGCTAGCCTAGCATGCTTGACCTGCTAGCCTAGCATGCTTGACCTGCTAGCCTACATGCTTGACCTGCTAGCCTAGCATGCTTGACCTGCTAGCCTAGCATGCTTGACCTGCTAGCCTAGCATGCTTGACCTGCTAGCCTAGCATGCTTGACCTGCTAGCCTAGCCATGCTTGACCTGCTAGCCTAGCATGCTTGACCTGCTAGCCTAGCATGCTTGACCTGCTAGCCTAGCATGCTTGATCAGCGAGCCTACAGCCAAATGCTTGACCTGCTAGCCTAGCATGCTTGACCTGCTAGCCTAGCATGCTTGACCTGCTAGCCTACATGCTTGACCTGCTAGCCTAGCATGCTTGACCTGCTAGCCTAGCATGCTTGACCTGCTAGCCTAGCATGCTTGACCTGCTAGCCTAGCATGCTTGACCTGCTAGCCTAGCATGCTTGACCTGCTAGCCTAGCATGCTTGACCTGCTAGCCTAGCATGCTTGACCTGCTAGCCTAGCATGCTTGACCTGCTAGCCTAGCATGCTTGACCTGCTAGCCTAGCATGCTTGACCTGCTAGCCTAGCATGCTTGACCTGCTAGCCTAGCATGCTTGACCTGCTAGCCTAGCATGCTTGATTTGCTAGCCTAGCATGCTTGACCTGCTAGCCTAGCATGCTTGACCTGCTAGCCTAGCATGCTTGACCTGCTAGCCTAGCATGCTTGACCTGCTAGCCTAGCATGCTTGATCAGCGAGCCTAGCATGCTTGACCTGCTAGCCTAGCATGCTTGACCTGCTAGCCTAGCATGCTTGACCTGCTAGCCTAGCATGCTTGACCTGCTAGCCTAGCATGCTTGACCTGCTAGCCTAGCATGCTTGACCTGCTAGCCTAGCATGCTTGACCTGCTAGCCTAGCATGCTTGACCTGCTAGCCTAGCATGCTTGACCTGCTAGCCTAGCATGCTTGATCAGCGATCCTAGCATGCTTGACCTGCTAGCCTAGCATGCTTGACCTGCTAGCCTAGCATGCTTGACCTGCTAGCCTAGCATGCTTGACCTGCTAGCCTAGCATGCTTGACCTGCTAGCCTAGCATGCTTGACCTGCTAGCCTAGCATGCTTGACCTGCTAGCCTAGCATGCTTGACCTGCTAGCCTAGCATGCTTGATCAGCGAGCCTAGCATGCTTGACCTGCTAGCCTAGCATGCTTGACCTGCTAGCCTAGCATGCTTGACCTGCTAGCCTAGCATGCTTGACCTGCTAGCCTAGCATGCTTGACCTGCTAGCCTAGCATACTTTATATGCTTCCCTAGTATCCCTGACCTTCTTCTTAGCATGCTTAATTTGACTTCTTTCCTAGAATGCTTAGCCTGACCCGCTTCCCAGTTAGGTTAATATCTTTATTATGCACACCATAACCATTCTGTGGTAGTCAAAAGATTACAGAGGTACATAATGGATCCAGGGACTGGGTCCCAAAGTTTTGACAGCTGAACAAGTTACAGTGGTAATGAACTACTTACATGTTTATATCTGGTCACAATCGTAATGAGTTATTTATGCGGACGTGAATTAGGTAACATGTACACGTCAAAAAAAGTGGTAATGCTTTATTTACAGTGAGCAAAGTCAGGGTATTTTTCCAGAATGATTTGTAATATACCGCTGTGGATAAAATACTTTGACATTTTTTTGACATTTCTAAGAGTGTTGTCTCTGAATTCATTAATTTCATCGCATTCCAGCACATAATGACGCAAAGTTTACATTTAGTTTGGTTTACATTAGCTGGTGTTTTCTAGTGTGCGCAATCGACCTGCTTCATAGCATACCTAGAGGCTATTCTGAGGGCCAACGCCCCCGCGGCCCGGTCCATGACCAGGCGTCAAGGTGGATCATGGCATACAGGACTAACTTGACCTACTGGTCAAGTGCTTGACTTGCTTGCCTAGCATGCTTAACTAGTAGCATATATTTTTCATTGTATCATATGATGGTATACAATACCGAGAAGCTGACGAATAAGAGATACGTACAACATCTGGGTATCCTTATTAACAAGAAGATATGCAAGTGTTACACATATGTCTAGCAATGTGCTGTCAGGTGTTGAGGCGTTAAGTGACGAGGAGAAAACTGCGACAAGTGGCTAGAAATAATGCTCATCTGGCATCACCACCGGAGAAAGAGGCTGGTGGTACTCAC